AATGCCCCGTATCAGCGAGCATCCCCTTTTATAGGGACCAAGAGCTGATACGGGGGAGCAAATACAAGTCACAAAGAATAGAGTTCAAGCGTAACCAGGAGAGTCTAAACGAGTGCCTAGTAAATAATGCTATCAAGGGGGTGAGCGACCTTCACATATAATGCTATCAAAGAGGTAGCGACTCCCTAGTAAATAATGGTATCTAATAGGTCGCGCGGAGCGAGACAGTCGCGCTGAAGGGTGTCGCTTGTTGCATTTTGAGCATGAGGCGCACCCGTGTATAGGGCTCACATCGTCTCAAGCGATGCGAACATTATTTTCTGTCATTTTTTCTCTTCTTTGTTGCTATTGCAAGTATACGGAAACCTAGGACATCTGAATTTGCAAAAATGACTAGAAGAACTGTTGCTGCACTGGAAAGCTTTTCGCGCACCTTGTCGCGTGCGTCTACACGACATCGGAAATGAATGCGCTTCATGCTTAGAAAAGTTTCCTTTTCCTCAAATGCCGCCTGCCCTGCCGCTGAAATAGTTGCAGCTTTCATGTGAATTATCACACATCTCAACGATTTTGTGTGGTAGGCGAAGGAGTATGCACAAGAGCTCGTTCAGCCTCGTGCTCTACATCGTTTATCTTGTGTTATGTCTCAACCTTACATTTATTCTTTGTTGTCCATTGTTTTTTCGTACATTCGACACATACACATATGCTGCTGCTTTTCCCAGAGTTTACATTTTGTTCTAAGCCCGACGACCTTTTAAGCTCACTTGGACGGGACCTTTTGAAATTTGTAGTATGGATCAATAAGGGGGTTGCAAGGGGGATTCAAGATGGCGCCGTTCCTAAACGCATGGTCTGGGGATCGGATCCCGGAACAATTGGTTTAGACCAGTAGGGCTTTCCATGCTTGGGGACAGCAAAGTGAACGGCTTAATCTGGAGTTAGCCCTATCTTATACACCACTTTGCCTTCACTTCATAGAACTCAAATGCAGTCTATATCTGGGGGCTGGAAGGGGCATTTCAAAGAACTACCTGATATGGCTGCTGGGGGTGCGGACGACAAACAGAAGAGACAGTAGGTACAGTCGCTGTCGGTGCGCCATGTGAAGGAGTTCTTGCGTACGCTGATTTTTGCGCGGACGTCAGCCTAAGGTTAATTTCAGCGGGTGCATCTGCCATTACAGGGCAGGTAGTCATTGGCAGAAGCAGGCTGGCGCCGAGAAAACGTATGCACTCTTGTAGGGACGCTTCTATCCGACTCTTTGATGCTAGATAATTTGGACGATTCTACACATGAAAGAAAAGAAAAAAGTACCTAAACCTCTAATCGATACTCTGGCTCTATTAACCATCAACTCCAGAGGTGTTCGAATGTCCCATAAAAACATATGTGCTTTTAAAAAAGTTTTTCCCAGTCAGTTACTAATAACACTAATTTCAGCATGGGGTCGTATGTCACGATGGGAAAGGAAGGATCGGGTAGGTGACCCATTGCCACTCACCGGATCGTTTGCTGCTGTGGGCATACTCTCCCAGTCAGGTAAGGCAGTAAGATTGGCTTCGAGAAAGTTTCTCATGTCTAGTTACGAGGCAGGAACTTATTTTTAATTCTTTTCAGTTCACGATGCACAACCGGTGTGCAGTGATTGGGATCTGAGGAATGAGGTGTCGTTCGCTTTGATACGACAATCCGATCCGATCGGTTCTGATGCTCCCGAAGATGTATGGTTATATAACAGGTATGTTCATTTTATTATAGTTCACGTTCATATTGATAGTTATCTCTGTATCCTTGCTGCGGATACGCACCCATATCGTGCTGTAGATAGGTACCCACAACGGTTACGGTCGCACAACTACAGGTCTCTGGAAAGCATCCTCTGATTTCGTGTTGCGATCGCGCGCTCGGGTGACTTTGTACTAGTCCCTAGCCGGTCTGCGGTATGCGAAAAGTCCAAACTTGTCAGTTTGGCAGACCTGGCAGAAATGGAAGTGGCTGTAGAGCGTCGAAAGTTCCGCCGGAAGCGTCTTTGGGAACGGCTTATGGCTCTATCCATCAGGTTATACCGCGGTCTCGAAGGGATCGTTCAGCAAGATCGCCTCCACCGTCACCTTTACATGAAGACAAATTGTAAGCTCCCCTCCGAGTAACGCCGCCATTGCCATCTGCGAGGTGAATGGGTCGCAGTGCAGTATGGGCTGAAAGTGCAGGGAATGTGGCTGAAGGGTAGTGATATCCAGATGCCGTCTCCATAGTCCGCCCGCGCTATCCTCATGCGTCGAGCCAGGATCCTGCAGCGGGTGAGAACAGCCAGAAGTGGAAGGGCGAAAACAAGTAGCGCGTTGGGCCACGGTTGGGCGTGTGATTGACCGCGCGGCAGCCGCGGACGGAGTCGCAAACTACATACGGGTATCATCCGTCCTCCAACCCGTCCCAGTGCTTTTTGTGGGGGGAAAAGGCGCGCTATTAGAGCTGCCTACCCATCACTTCGCACATGGCGAATTCCAGGACCTACAGAATGAGTGTACAGTTGTCCTAATTTTTAATTTTTCTCTTCCTTTTTTCTTCTCTATCTCTCTTCTTCGGAGTTTCCTCATCCTCTTCACGCCTTAGTGCTGCTTTTCTTGCCTTGCTTCATAGTTCCCAGTAAAATAAGCCCGTCAACTGCGGGGTTTCACACAGTTCACTCAAGGAGAAGTGAAAAATTCGTCTGTCCCTAAGCCGTCTGTCTAAACCAAGATCGTTCAGAATTTGGGTCATATCCATATACGGCCCTCTCAGCTGAGTGACTCAAACATGCCCCCTTTTCTTGAAGTCCACTTTGTAGCGCCTTATGTCGATTTTAATGAAGTATAGGAAATATTGAAGGTTTTCTGCATATCATTTCATGAATATTGCTAATTTCAGCGGTACACGGCCGTTATTTATAAGCATGACAGCTTCATCATCGAAACCGGATACGTTACGACGATTATCACCGGGTTACTGTATCCGCGTACATAAAGGGGAAGCAACAGCCAGCGCTCCGGCCAGTGAACG